CGGTAAGAATGTAAGTGTTTCAAGAGATTTCATTAACAGTCAGAACATCAGTAATTGAAGAAAAGCAGGATATTATGGAACATTCAAGCTAAGAAGTAAACTTTGAAGACTAGCAGGTGAACAAACTCTCCACCAGAAAAGTTTAATAGTGCACCTTTAAGTAGAAAATCACAATTCTTTTACTCTAGCACAAACTCTGAGTACTTCTCCAACTCTCCAATACTGCACTACATCATTGAACCGAATTATGTGTCATTGCTATATTTATCTAACATAGTGAAGTGACAAAATCACTTTAGGTTTGTGGTTAAATGACTTTTATCTGCACATCAGTGACACCTGTGCTCCGGGTAAATAATATGAGTTTGGCCGCGCGTCAGTCCACTGCAGACGGGCTAAATCAGAGCTACAAACACCAGCCATCACCGCTCTGTCACGCTCCATAAGCCTGATGCATCCTCCATTTTCCTGTCAAAGTCCAGAGGGATTTACAGGTGAGGACCTCATTCAAAATGTCTTTGAGCCGTGCAGACCGGACACACTTTGCACACTATATTTATGTTAGCATGCCCCATTTCTGAAAAACACATTCTACAAGCTGGACAATATTCATATATATGTCATTTTCAATAGCAATTGCATTTTATAGAGCAGATTTTTTTTTATGAAAAAGGTTCTAGTTCAAGTGGACTTCTGTTCGTACTGAATTATAGTGATATTTGAATATATAATCGTCATCATCATCATCATTATTGCATTTATATAGCGCCTTTCAAGATACCCAAAGACTTTTACAGTTCATTATTCATTCACTCAACACTCGGTAAGCTGCTACTGTAGTCATAGCTGCCCCGGGACAGACTGACAGAAGTGAGGCTGCCAATCTGCGCCATGGGCCCCTCCGACACATTTTGGTGGAGGATGCACCTCCTGCTTGTCTCCATGGAGTTGTTATTGTTTTGCCTGGATTTGTCTGTAGTGTGGGATTATAGTTGTATATCTCCGTGGAGACAATACGGTGACACCACCGGGACAAGTTACAGGTCCAATCTGTGGAAAGGTGACCCCATTCGTAGTATGGCTGTATTACCTAAAAATAAATACACCTGTAGCTGAATAAATGCAAACAGTTTAATGTTATACTGTGGAACATTCCAGGTAAAGCCATAAAATTTCAATGAAGCCAATAGGTGACACCCCAGACTCCATTTTAACTCATGTTTTTCATCTCTAGGAGTCATTCAATCAGATGTACAAGCTTTCACAACTGTCTTCTCACAGTGTAGTGGAGCAGCAGCTCTACTCTAAGCTCCTACAAATTTTCAAAGCTTTTCTCAGTTTTTTGGCATGTAGCAATGATAATCCTATCTCACCTGACCAATCCATGGCTTTCTGAGTGATGACCATCATTGCCATAACATTTCAAAACTAAATATTCTTATTCAGTATCTTTTGAATGGTGAAAAGTGCTAAAAATATCACCCATAAACAGTGGGCTGAACTAGTGAATTGCTAACCAAAGATTAAACTGAAACTGAAAAGAAAAAAAAATATATATATATATGTATTATTTTAAAAAAAACATATTTTCCAACATGATTGCATTATTTTTATTGGGAGTTGGACTCACAAAATCTACTCTGAGTGTGGACCGTGCTCCAGTCTGTAACATCAATAATGTATGCCTCTCGGACTGCTATTAAAATGACAAGAAGTGAGTGTGACAGGCAGCCAAGTACCTCAAAAACTTTAATGATCTGTTGTTCACTAGGCCATACACACATTCAGTCTGTACACATATACAGTGCAAGTGTGCTAATTATTAAACATATAAAATCTCTTCTCCCATCTGTTCTCATCATAAAAACATTCAACTGTCGACTAATAGGTCCCAGCAGTCAGCTATCAATCACAGTGGAGGGATTACACAAGATTTAGAGCTGATTTCCATACGCTGGGTGGCCATACTGCGCCTGTGATACGGACAAAACAAGGCTTTCCTGGGGCCACAAGGGGGATTTATGCAGAGCCAAACACCAGTTATCTGTGCACTCGGGTTTAAAAGTGAACCTAGAAAGTTAGAGCAGAGTTTGAAAATATCTGTGTAACTTGGTAGTAATTCACTGGTAGCACTTGGTTGCACTGCATTGGTTTATTCAGTGAGTCTTACAGAGGATTACTTGTACTGTATTTTTTGGACTATAAGGCGCACTTAAAATCTCAAAAATCGACCGTGTGCCTTATGTATTAATTCTGGTTGTGCTTACTGACCTCGATCCGTTATATGTGGTACACAGCGCTCAAAAATCTGTTGAAATGCTTTAGTACGTGTGAGGGAGTTGGCCCGACGTGGTCAAAGTAGGAGACAGACGACAACAAAAAAGTGTTTTTGACTAGACAAATTTACTTTAAAACAGACTTCTAAAGTTAAAGAAAAAGAAATGACAAACAAACAGAAAATAAGTAACTCAAATCAAATGCACCAAACAATCTGCACAGAAGTCTTCCTCAGTTGATGACACTTGCTTTTCTTTTATACCCCACACAGCAGGAAATGCCTCCCCCAAGTGAGTATCATTTCCAGGTCACTCTTCAAAGCAAAGTGAGTATTTCTTTTCAAGTCCCAAGTCCCCTTTTAAAATCAAAATGCTTAACATAAACTAAACAGTGTGTTGAAAATATATACAATCTATAAAAAACAAACACACAAAAACATGAAACAGAACTTAAGCCAGTTCTCCCCTCCACATGGTTCAGCCCACGACCTCCTCCAAGCTTTTAAAAATGTCTGACATGAAGCACGCCACCTCTTGTCTGGACCATGTGGAGCTGCGTGAGGAATGGAAACTGAAATGAATTAACAAATAAAGTATATTTACTTGAACAATGTCTAATGTGATAAATTAACCAAAACTAAGAATTATATGTAACTGTAATTGTAGTACATTGCTAAATTAATAAAATGTAAAATTACACTAATGTGAGTTTAAAACCAGGACAAAGGCCCACTTTGTCTCAGTACGACACAGAAAGAACAAATATTCCACTGAGTTGTGTCCTTTATTACTTATTACTCAAAGTATATTTGAGTCCTCCTCATAGGAAATAAAACAAAGTTAAATTATCCACCCACATTCACGTTCATAATGCACATTCACCAAGACAGGGAGGCAACTCCGGGTGAATTACACCACTATCTAACAATGGATCGGATGGGCTAAGGGATCAGTCTCATGTGTTATCCGTTTGTTTCCCTTAATGAGCCTTATAATCTGGTACGATTTATGTATGAAAATAGACAAGAGAATTCAACATTATTGATATTGCTCCTTATAATCTGGTGCACTTTATAATCCCCAAAATGCAGTATTTAAAACACAAAAATACATTCATGTATGTTGCAATTTTCAACCTTAAAACATAAAATAAATGTCTGGACTTTCAAAACAAACACATGAACCTCACGCATTACTTTTTAATTATTTATTTATTTTTTTAATCAGAGAAATGCAGACAAAATTGGTCATTTTCCTATATAAAATACATGTAAAATCAATGTTATGTCAAGTCAGATCCATTTTTATTACATCAGTGCCGTGTGTAAGTCTTACAGTACAATGTGTCCAGAATTGGAAAAGAAATGCACATGACATTTTTTAAACATATATTTTTGTATTTTATGTTATTTTACCAAAAGTATGAAATTTATAACTTGCTTTGAACTTCTGGGCCACTGTACATAACCTGAAAAAGGATTCAGTCAATAGTGTTTTTTTTCTGATCCTGAGATGCTTAAAATATTTTTTCTTCCCTCTCTCAGGACTTTTTTTGCAACTTTCTACTCACTAATGACTAGACATAGTGGTTCCCGGTAACTTTTCTTCCACCTTCCTTCTTTCCTTTTTCAGTTTAAAACAATTGCATACACCATGAATAGCGAGTGCTCTTAACTCAGTAATTATAGTTTCAAAGATTTAAAAATACATCGAGCCACGCTGATTTCTGAGGCGATGCTTTCAGTCACATGGTCAAGTAAGACGATACTCTAACTATAGCACTTTTCAGGGACATGTTACAATTCTTTAGACAATAATAAACTGTGGCAAAGGGTTGTATGAGGCCAAGACAGGATTAGTAAGCGGTCAATAAACAAGTCTGCCTCTCATAAGGAAGCACAATGAGATCCACGGTTGCATCGATTTAGTCATTTATATCATAATTGTTTTCACTTCTACCCTGCAGTTTCTTTGTCAAGTGTCTCTTGGACCTGGTCATTTCTGTGCCATTATCTGTTAACATTTTGTCTTTCTTGTCCTCTCTCTGTTGTATAACTTCCCCAATAGAGTATAATATGATGAAAACTGATGGTACTTATTTCAGTATTTTATTCAATAGACATACTAGTTTTTAAAGGTGCATTGTGCATTTAAAGGTGCAACTTTTCTGGTGAAGGGCCCATCAAATACTTTTCTCCATAGATGTTATTGCTTTGTCTGGAATGATTCACAGTACAGCATTAAATCTTTCCATCTTCATGAGATCAAACCAGGTTAGATCTGTAGAAAGGCAACTTTATTCACAATCAGAATGCCCATTTTTGAGCAATAAAATAATCTGCAGTTGAATAAATGTAAGGTAGAGCTGTTTAATGTCATACTGTGGAACATTCCACCCAGAGCAATGACTTATCCATAGAAACAAGCAGCTGAACAAAACATGGCTGCAAATATTTCTTGGTGTAAAAGAAAATTTTGTGATTTAACTATAGAAATCTGACATTTACTTTCCTACCTTTTTGTACTTTGGAATACTGTTGAAGTCACAAGCAGAATTGAGACTAAACTTGAACTAAACCTAACCTAGAACTTAACAGACCAAGACTAAACCAGGACTAGAAAAGGACCAAATCAAGTCTACAGGACTAAAAGTAGAAGAGGTTTTTCCCTGGTAGCACAGCAGGATTAACCTGGGGTCAAACCAGGAAAAGTGTAAACGCACGCTTATTGCTTTTTGAGTTTTCCTTTGTTACAAATCAATCTCCACAGACAATTCAGCACTGCAACAACAACAGCTACACACAATAAAGTCACCACTATCAGAAACACTATCACATCTATGCAGTGATATTGGAGAAAGGAGAGTTTGTATGATTCGCTTCTCAAATGTTTCGCTCCTTTGTGCTTCATGACAAACTCAACCCAGAAAACTGCAGTGTCCAGTGGATTCAGTGGAGTATCTCTGTGTATTTTGGAGAGGATCTTCATCTTCTCTCTGTAGGAGGGGTTGTATAAAACCTCTTGGAGAGCTTGGAGGAAGTTGTCTCTATTCAACGTTGCGATGTCCAAAACTTTAGCCACCCCTCTCACTTCCATTCTCCCAAAATTGTCCCGTTGATCATGCATAAGAGGTAAACCAACAAGAGGAACGCCATGGTAAATCGCTTCTTGGATTCCGTTCGTTCCTCCGTGCCCCACAAACACTTTTGTTTTCGGATGTCCAAGAAGATCGCTCTGAGGAAGCCAGTCCGAAAGCAAAGTATTATTACCAAGATTGACAGGTCTCTTGCCTTTATGCCTCCAGATAACTTTTTGTGGTAGCTTTGAAAATGCAGCAGCAATTTCTTCAACAACATGATCAGGAAGTTGAGCTACCAAAGTTCCTAAAGACATAATGACAACTCCATGTTCCCCCGAGCTTTGCACAAAGTCTTCCAGGTTGTGAGGTAGAGGTTTGGGGGGTTTGCATGGGTATCCAGCGATGTAAACAATATTAGGCATTGTGGGACGGGGGAATTCAAAGGTAAAGTCTATCCTCATGAGCCAAATATCGGCAGCTTGGACCAACTCTGAGTATTGTATATCAGATCCAAAGTAGTGCTGGACTATGGGATTATAATTTGAGTCAAGGACATTTAAAATTTGTAAATTAATCAGGAAATATTGCAACATATTTTTGACTCTTTCTGAAAAGGTCATTTTATCAGTAAATATGGATGGCATCGGTATATAGGATAAAAGGGAAGGTGCAATTAAAGAATGCCCATCTCCTGCCATAGTCCACCTGGCCACTAGCACCAGAGGTAACTCCAAGCGGTGGGCCATAAGAACCCCAGACAGAACTGCCGGATCGGTCAAAACTAGATCAAATTTCGCCTCTCTCAGTTCCTGCATAAAAGTATTATTCTCAAACATTTCCCTAACCACATTTACTACACTTTGATGTTTTTGGTAAAAGTAATTTAAAACCTCAGATACTCTGTTGATGTATTCCCATACAGAAAATGGTTCGAGGCTCATCTTAGTCATTTTAGCAGCAAAATCGGTCATGATCTTCTCATTGGAGCTCATTGCCGGTATGTTAATAGTTGTATAATTCGGTGATTCCTTGATGAACCAGCTGTCTACTGGGCGAAGCACGGTGATGTTGTGGCCTTTAGAGGAAAGTGCTTCAACAAGGACTTTCATTTGGATCCAGTGGCTTCCATCCACTGGGAAAACTAGGACTTTTCCTCCAGAAACCACAGAAGAGCAGAGGAGAGTGAGCACAGCTGGGAGAAGATGGAGTGACATGTTTCATAGAGATTCTGTGGAAGGAAGAAAAAAAGATACTAGTAAGTGTCCTTTTAAAAGTGATCTATTGGGCTAAAGTCTGATTGATAAACATGTTTTATCAGTCATGGAAACAAATCAGTGCTCATGGAGTTAAACATGTTTTACTGTATTATTTGATTATATTATCTGTGACAGTCCTATGCAAATAACCAACAAGTACATTACATTTTGGATTAATTACATATGCAGTTTTCCACACAAAAATATGTGCAAGAATCTGTATACATTTTGAACTTTTTCTGAGCAAAAAACTACCCACTGCCTATGTTTCATAAGATTAGAGTAGAGTATAGAAGAGGGAGAAAGTGAAAAATAGAGAAGCATAAAACATTTATTTCCTCTGATAACTAACCAATCAAACTCCTTTTGGCACGTGCATGAGCAAGCTTGAATCTGCGTGTTTGCAAAGCACACGATGTCTGCCTTAAGTTAATAAAGTACTGCAAGAATATCTCAACTAAACAAAACTACTCCTGTTTTAAACGGTCCTACCTGTTCTCTTCTCAGAGGCCTTGTGTCCTTAGCTCTTTTCTTTCCTTATAAAGTTCATAAGTTAGTGTTGAAGGAAGTTGAATGCAACAGTCCAGAGTCCTGTTATATAATTGGGAGAGGGGCTCCATTATATTGCTGCTGCAGTGCACCATGGGAACTTTTGTAACAGATTTTGGATGCCTAAACACTTTCCCCTGAGGCCCATATTTGGTCGGTACCAATAAATAATTAAATATAAAAAAATCAAACATTTCTTTCCTCAGATTAATTAACCGGTCTAAACAACACTAGTCCAGTTTAAAATGGTCCTACCTGTTCTGCTCTCAAAGTCCTTGTGTCTTCAGCTCATTTTATTCTTTATAAATGGTCATATTTTTCTATAGCACTTTTCTACCTTCAAGGCACTCAAAGCACTTTACAACAAGGAACCACTCACCCATTCACACACACATTCACACATTCACACACCAGTGTACGCAGACACTGTGGGCAAGGTGGGTTAAGTGTCTTTCCCAAGGACACAATGACAGCATTCATCTGTGGGAGCTGGAATCACATCAGCCAACCTGTGGCTCAGTGGATCTGACCACTCAACCTGTGATGTTTTATGTCGAGAACCAGATTCAAACCACCAACCTTCAGATCAGTGGGTAAATGCTCTACCAAGTGAGCTACTGCCGCCCGTTACTGTTGAATGAAGACACTTTATTACGGCAACACTCCATAGTGCTGTTACAAATGTGAGGGAGGGGGTACATTATACTGCTGCTGCAGTGCATCATGGGAATGTCCATAATAGGATTTAGAAGCCAAAAAACTTTCCCCTGAGGTCTACAGTTGATCTGTACTGTATGGACTAGATTCTGTTTCTCAATAATATTTGATCTTTAAATGAACTTTGCTCTGCACAGGTCACTCTGCACCATCAGTGAGGACTGTAAACAAAGAAATCATTAGTCCAATCCACTGATCACATTGTGTGATGAGAAAACTTTGGCCCATGACTGCAAAGTTTATTGTTCAGGTATTATATTCAGTCTTCTCTTACATCCTTGTGTTGTATTATATGTTTGTCCTTTTTGTAGGGTGATCCTAACTCCTGGTTGATAAAAAGCATACACAAACTAAAAACTCAAGTTCATGCAGCGGTGACAATATTACACACGCAGAAACGATTGGACCTTAAAGAAGACTTTCTTTGTTTTTGTTTTTTTGTTTGTTTTGTTTTTTTGTACTTAAACCTGTATTAATTAATCAATCAATATACTACTTCAAGCAAGGCTATGAAGAGGGGAAAACAAAATCAAACTTTTAAAGCTCAATTTGATGTAGCATAATAACATACAACAAAACATACTTGGAGTTTTGTTTCATTCACATGTTTAACACACAATTCCTGCATATTTAGGCTTTGTTCTTTTCTCACACGGAAAGCATTGTTTCACCTTGTGATGTAATGTGGTAATACAATAAGTGCTCCACTGTGTTTTTAAACTCTACACACCTTCACTGGTATCATTTGAATAATTTCAGCACTGAAATTATTTTACTTTTAGTTCAATCTCTACCAAACTAAAGGTAACTTGAAAACTACAACCATATGACAACGTAACGTGCAAGAGAGCATTATGAGCTTGTAGGCAGACAATAACACTAAGGCTTACTCAAACATGTGTGAATGAAATAAAGCACAACTCCAGGTGTATTTTTGATGATGTATCAGCATTATAACATGGTTTAAAGCTCACAAGAAATCATTTTGTGTAATAAAGGACCTTTAGGAATGATCAAATTCTTGAATATCTTGAATTATTCGTTGAGGCTTCAGTGTGAATTTCCAACTGCATGGGGTCTTTATTGACTAATCAACAGCAGTCTAAAGGGGCTCTAGTATTTGATGAAGTACTGTGGAAGAAATCAGACACACCTGGGCCCTCTGCTCTTCAGACATGACTCAAGTCGAAGCCTTTTTGTACATTTCAAACAGTGCACCGCGGGAGGCTCAGAAGTGAATGACGCTTCTCTGTTAAATCCCTATACAATACACTAAAGCACAGGTACAGATCCCAGGTGAGTCCCGTTGACTGTGTGAAGCTAATAGAGAATGAACTGAGAGAAATAAAATGTGTTGACAAAAGCCCTGTCTGATACATATGGATTAAAGATGAGATAGATAGTGCTGTAGTCCCAAAATACTCTTGCAACTTTTATCACATTTAACAGGAGTGCACTGGGCCACAGTTTGCCTAATCAATTTTAGCATTTTTAAAAATAAACCATTGGCAAAATCCATCATCTTGCTGAAATGCAAACAATAAGAGCTGAATACTATTACCACGGTCAGTGAGAATTCCAATGGCCAACTGTTCTATGTAATGAAAAATTAATGCACAGCGGTTAGCCATTTGTAGGCCAGCAACAGCTAAATCACATTCCACATGGTGTTCTACGACTCCATGTTGTGTGTTAAAACTGCATAATGCGTAGCTCCTCATTGTTTAATGCGCCTTGGGACACTCAAAGATGCTTTACAGTGCATTGTTAATTCGCTGTTATTTCTGTAGCCACAGCTGCCCCGGTGGTGGACTGAGGGTAGAAGTGAGGCTGCCAGTCTGCACCATCAGCCATTTTCACCACCACCAACCACTCAAATACACATCGCATTCATACTAGACAAACTGGGTGTTTGGGCTAAAGACACAATGACAGTATAAGATGGTTCAGTGGAAAATCATTTGTATTTCTGTTATTAGGTTCTTTTTTCAGACCGAGTTTGTTTTCCTACCTGACAGTTTCGAGTGCTCACGAGCGGTCTTCCTCAGAGTGATCACGTGATGTTGCTGTGACGTGTCTGCTCAGCTGATTTAAACAAGTTTTGGCTCTGTCTTCCTACCAGTGGAGGCAGGACGACGGCTCCATCTGCAGTTCGACTTCCTCAGGACAGTATCCGAGGTGTGTGAGAATAAAAAAGCCCCCTCGTCCCGGTTTATCGTCCCGTGGGCACGTTTCTGCTATTCAATTGCCTCTTTAGTCCAGCGACGGTGTTTGTTTTAGTCTGTCCCAATGATGTTTGCTCCGTCCCGGTCCATAATGTGGTTCTCTCTTTTACAGTGGTTACAAATGGCCGGTTTGAGTTGTTCTTGTTCTGCTTTGTGTTTCGTCTTCACTGTTTCCTTCTCACATTCTGTTCTATGTTCCTTTTTCATGTATTGAACGCCCTCCTTGTTTCCCCGATGTGTGTTTTATTGCAGGATATGCAGGGTATTTCATATGTGATGTTACATTTATGCTCCGGTGGTATTTTATCTTTTTGGTGGAGGAGTAGTTGCCTGAGTTTCCTGTACAGTTTCACTGGTTTGTTAATATTGTGTTTTCTCATTGCCCTCTGCACTTTTTCTATTATGTCCCTGATGTGTGGTAATGTTCTCATGCCTGTGCTCTTTTTTTCAGTTTTATTTTTGTTTTTCTGGTTCTGTTTTTCTTTCTCTCTAACCTGTTGTTTTCCTTTGTTTATTGCCCATCTTGGGTATTGGCATTGCTTCAGAGTATTGTGAATGTGTCTGTCTTTGTCTTTGTCAGCTGACCGGACACATCACAGGATCATCACGTGACCACTTGGAGGAAGATTGTAAGTGAGCAGTCGAAACTGTCAGGTATGAAAACAAACTCTTGGTCTGAAAAAACAATCTAATAACAGAAATTATTGGAAGGTCAAATGAACCTCATTGGGCCAATCCTTTGTAATGGCCAAACAGAACAGGAAAACAAACTAAACAACAACAAACTATACACTGCCGCCTTATTTCTTCTCTCTTAAAATTAACTTGCTTAATTTTATTTAAAAAGACATCTAGACATCTAATACAAAATATGTTATATTTTCTTATAGGGCCAGCGGCTTAACACTGAGTCTTTTTCTCTGGTTAATTACTTGAGTGTCCAAAACATTTGCAGAGCTGCTTTAATTGGAGACCGTCAAGCCTTTTTGGCTAATGATGCATAGTTTGTGCCTAGTCCACTGTAAAACATCCTACAGAAATGCCCCGAAGCTCACTGCATGACGCCATTTTGTTTGGCAGAGAAACTTTTCAGTAGTTTGTGATTTTTGTTCTTGTTCTGCATGAACCATACATTTGAAGAGTGAGAACAAATGAGATCTGTTTGTTTAAATAATGCTGCACAAATGTAGTATGCTCAAACCTATTTTTTAGTATGTGTTTTGGGAAGATTAAAATGTTTTATGGTGTAAAAAAAAGTACATGCATACATACATAACATACATACATACAACTGGATGTAGCTTTAATTACTTGACCAGCAAGTCCCTTTTACGTTGGAACAGGACAATAGAAAATCATCCGTCCTAATTTAATCCA